GTTTTAAGTGTAATATCTATTTAAAATATTTCATAGCTATTGATATTGCATACATATTCTATAGAGTAGTATTAAACGCTCATATTCCTTATATTTTTTATGCTTTGATTTAAAATCTCAATAAATAATAATCATTATTATATTACCGAAACAATCTCTCTTTTATCATCAAGTTTATTTAATGAGTTTATATTATTTTTATTTTTAAATACACATTTACTCATCTTGAGTCGGATCAGCGTAGGCAGCAGCTTATCTAATACAGAGCATGATGGCTTGTGATCAATCTAGAGAAATACTCTGTTAATTTTCAAGAAACAGATGCCTTGTTAATTAAAGCAGGACTCTACGGATTGAGGACACTAGTCCTTTGTTCACACCATGAAATTATATTCATCGGGAAGACCATTTCCTCTTGACAAAATACTGATGTCATTGCCAAAAGTAGTATTTGGGTTGGGCCAACATTATTGTTTACAAACAGTTTTCTGATCTTCTCTTCTCCCGAAGGGCATGCATTTTATGACCCTTTGATTGGAACTTTGTAGCAATCTTTGGCACGTTTTGCCAGGCTATTCATTGCCTATTTGCCTGACAATATCAACTAACGGTGCGCTGTAAAGTTTGAAAATTTGGCTCAGCCATCCCATCACAACATACCCAAGTGTGAAAGTGAACCAATTCTCAAACTTCAACTCATGTTCCCCGTGGCAGGCAGGCATCTTCCAGCCAAAAAAACGAAGGCAAGAGAAAATCGAGTAGTTGTAGCATTGGTTTCTCCGTACCAGAAAGAGAATCCTTTTGAACCAGGAGTAGTTACACCATGAAACAGTATTTGGGATTGTCTCATGAAAGTCAACTAATATACTGTTAATATACGCCATGATCGGATATATTAAAAGATATTTAAAAAATTCGGTTTAGCACTATCGAAAATGTTGAGTAATAATAATGTTGTAGGTGGAAATCGTGAAGAAATATTAAAAAATTTGGCAACTGGCAAACCTAGTTTGTCGATACAAATAAAAAATGTATCAATCTATATTAATATAACAGGTAAAAATATGATAAAACCGGTCTCAAAATGACCAAACCGGTAAAACGCTACCGGATATGTTGAAAGTGTCGATATTTTATTATAAATATCGACATTTTTGGAATTTAAAAGACAAGCAGTAATAACGTTTATAAAATGTCGATACTTTAAAAAAAATGTATCAATCCATAACAATATAACATGTAAAAATATGATAAAACCAGTCTAAAAATGACAAAACCGGTAAAGAGCCACCGGATATGTTAAAAGTGTCGATACTTTATTATAAGTATTAACACTTTTGGAATTTAAAAGAGAAGCAATAATAGCGCCTATAAAGTGTCGATACTTTATAAAAATATATCGATCCATAACAAAATAACAGGTAAAAATATGATAAAACCGGTCTAAAAATGACAAAACCGGTAAAGAGCCACCATATATGTTAAAAGTGTCGATACTTTATTATAAGTATCATCACTTTTGGAATTTAAAAGATAAGCAGTAATAGCGCCTATAAAGTGTTGATACTTTATAAAAATGTATCTACACTTAGGTTATTGTATCGATTAAATATAAATAACATATCCGGTGAAAATATAAAGGGCATTTCAGAACACGGACGGACGAGTTTTTGAAATCGAAGCGTAATTGTTGCTGCATTTCAGAATGCGTTTCTAAAGCGAAATTTGATTGTTTGTTGCTGCAGTCGAATCGAAAAGTACGTTGTTGAAACCCTAGTTTTTTATTATTACAATTTTATGTGTCGAAACCAGTTTTGTGATCTGGAAGTGCTTCGTCTGGAACTTAAGTAATCCGCTTTCAACTCGTTCATACGCATTCTACTAATTTCATCTTCAATTGCACGAACAACATCTAAATAGGTCTTCTTGTGTTTCAGTGCAATCGCGAGTGAAGCATTCATAGACTCACACCTTTGTGTTGAGCGAATATTGGCAAAGAAATGACTGGTTAGATATGCTTGTGCCCATAAGTACCGAGTATTTCCCTTCTCAATCACCCATGGATGCTTTTCGACGTTAAATTCTGAAACAACCGAACGCCATTGAATATCAAATTCCTCGGTTGTTCACCAGGAAGCCATGAATTTTGAGAATGTTGTAAATTTTGGGTCACCAATGTTAGCTTGTGCATTGCGAGAAATATGACAATAACATAATTTGTGCTTAGCATAAGGGATAATAGATTTGATAGCCCTCTGCATTGCCCTATCCCCATCGGTGACAACTGAAATAGGCGATTTATTCATCATGGCTTCTAAAAAATTCTGTAGCACCCACTCGAAAAATTGGGACGTCTCGTCAGCGATTATGACAGTGGCAAACACAATTGTGTTATGGTGATGATTGATACCGACAATAGGCATAATTGGTCGACTATACAAATTATCTTTGTACGTTGTGTCGAATGCAATTACATCACCGAAGCATGTGTAATCTGATCTCGATGTAGAATCTGACCAAATAAGATTATACAATGCCCCTGATTCGTCTACCGAGTATGCCATAAAAAACTCGGGATCATAAAGTTTCTTATAATCAAAGTAAGCAATAAGCGCATTCACATCCCCATTGACGATTTCGTTTACTTTACCTCTTTGAAGTGCATTGTAGAGATTTTTATATGTAAATCCAACATTATGATAGCCCCCTGCCTGTTGCGTTAAATAGTTCATTACTTGTAACATGCCAACACCGACCTCTTTCAATGCTCTTGCCTCATCGATATCAGCCTTACTTACAGCTCTATTATAACACATAAATGGTGTCATACCAGGTGTGCACAATGCATGATTATGTTTCTGATAAGACTTACTTATAACCTAGTGATCGTTTGTATTTGTTGTTGTAATTATGACTCTAGTCTTGCATCATGTTCTTGTGACTGGCGTATGAGCACATTGACGATCAACAATATTGACTTTTGATACTCGAAACCCTTCTTTGGAACAACAAAATTCTTGTGTCTTCACATTCCCTTCCACGTCAAGCCGTGTTGTTCCCTTACGTGCACTAAACCCATGTTCCCGTGCGAATTCCTTTTAAAAGTACCAAGTTTGATCACGTGAAGAGAATAGCTGACCAACCAATCTGTCAAATTCATCAACATTATGTACTTCATGGCATTCCTTGGTTGGCTTAACATTGTCTGCATCAGTATGATCCATGGCAAAAGGTATAAATTTATAACATTAAATTCGCATGACATATTTAGGTATGTACAATAACTACCTAAATATGCGTCGATACATTTATAAAAAGTATTGATCTCAAAAACATCGAAACTCATAATTATAATGTAATAGGTAATTTTACAATGTAACCAATATAAATTTACCAGTTTTATAAGAAAATAGGTCTACATAATGTATCGACACTTGTAGAACTTGTGTCGATACTTGTTGTCCAAAATGAATGCCCAAAAGGGTACACACATAAAGTGTCGTTATATTTATAAAAAGTATAGATCCCAAAAACATTGAAACTCATAATTATAATATAATATGTAAATTTATAATGTAACCGATAGAAATTTACATGTTTTATGAAAAAATAGGTCTATATAATGTATCGACACTTGTGGAACTTGTGTCGATACTTTTTGTCCATAATGAATACCAAACGGGGTTCACGCATAAAGTATCGATACATTTATTAAAAGTATCGATCCCAAAAACATCGAAACCGATAATTACAATGTAATAGGTAAATTTACAATGTACCCGATAGAAATATACCGGTTTTATCATAAAATAGTTCTACATAATGTATCGACACTTTTTAAGTTTGTGTCGATACTTTTTTCCAGAATGAATGCCCAACGAGGTGCATGGATAAAGTGTCGATACATTTAAAATTGTATCGATCCCAAAAATATCGAAACCGATAATTATAATGTAATAGGTAAATTTTTAATGTTACCGGTATAAATAAACCGGTTTAATTAAAAAATAGGTCAATATAAGCGCTACCTAATATGTTATTGTACTTGATAATATTTTCGGTTAAATGATATAACATAATCGGTCCAAATTTTAACCGATCACTTATTTAACCGATCACGTTATTTTTAGACATCGCACAACAGAAGTTTCCATTAGTTTGAGGGATGTGTCAAAGGGGTCCTTTTACTTTATTAATCAGTAAAAAAACTTAGTTAATCAGAAGAGACTCGAGAGACGCGGTTTTATAGCTGCAAAGACAGAGCAGCAACAGTTTGTTTTTGTTTTTGCTTTTGGTTTTGGGTTTTCTACATAGGGGAATTGGCTGAGTGAAGCACTTGGATTTAGACGGCGCGTCTCTTGAGTGACTCACACCCCCACCCTCTTTTAAATAATCAGCCCTGTACATCCTGGAAGTTGCCTATAGAGAATCCTATGTTCCTCTATTAATCAAAATAATTAAAGGATTTTTTACCATAAACATCAATAGTAAAACAAAGATGTAAGTGACTTGCTAAGCAAGTCATTTAACTTGAACCATTCACTTTTTACAAGTTTCAAATCATGCATTAATCACAGAAATGACCTGTTTACGTTAATGGTATCGCTATTGAATGATTAAAACAAACACGTTTTTTCCTAGCTGTAATTCGTTAGCTATCTACAACTAATGCTTAATTCCTTGATCTTTCCTTCTCTAAACAACGATTAGGTTGAGTGTTGAGGTTTGCCAATTGACATTTCTGCTTTGTAATTAATCACACACTGTACATTTCCCATTTCTTTTAATAAAGCTAAAAATATCCTGTCTGTCAGCCATTTTCATGTTCATACATGGACCAACACTGATTGACCAAGTGATCTTCACAGCTTTAAGAACAATTCAAAGTCACCCATCTATAAATATCAGCACTTTCCATCGGTTTTAACAATAAGAAGAATCCATTTGCTCTCATCGCTGATCATCAAAGTATTGATTGATAAATAAAGACTAGTTCTTTTTTGGAAGCTCCTTGCCAATGGTGAAGACTGATATGAAGAAGATTCAACCAGAACCATCGGAGCAAATGAAATCATCAACATCCTCATCATCATTGAATAATAAGTATAAAGGTGTAAGAATGAGGAGCTGGGGTTCTTGGGTGTCGGAGATTAGGGTTCCAAATCAGAAGACAAGGATCTGGTTAGGATCTTATTCTACAGCAGAAGCTGCCGCAAGAGCCTATGACGCTGCACTTTTATGCCTCAAAGGTTCCTCGGGAAATCTCAACTTCCCCATCACATCCTATCATTACATCCCTGATAGCGTTTTGTCTCCCAAGTCAATACAAAGAGTGGCCGCCGCAGCGGCAAATAGTTTCGTCGACAGTGCAGCCGCCGCCCCACCGATATCGTCGTCACCTTCCTCCGCTTGTTCCTCTTCATCAGTCTCTTCTATGTCTATGTACTCCTCGCCATCTGATCAAGCTGTTGATGAAGATGATGACTATATGTCACTGATACAATCTCTTGTAGCAAACGATGAGCCTGTTTCTCTGATGGAACAATGGTACCCCTCGCTTGATCAGATGTTGAATGTGTCCTCATTTCATGCACCCTCGACGATCAATGATTTCTACGAGGAAGGCGATGATGATATTCGCCTATGGAGTTTTTGTTAAGGCTGGAAGTCAAACATTAAACCATTCTTTTATTCTGATATTTGGTGATCTTCAGTTGTTTGGGGATGCTACGGACAGCAACCAAATATTTCATATTTTAATGTATTTTGAGATTTTTTTTAATGAACTCTCGAAGTGGGGGTTTCTACATATTCAATTTGTGCATAAATTATGCAAACTGTCGTATTCATTTGAAAAAGGAAGAATCATACTCTCTACACCTTGATTTTGTTAACTGTTATGGTTCTTCGTAGGTTGAAACTGTACGTAGGTTTTGGGTTTATTAGGAAATGGAACATTTTCAGATTAATTTTGACTGTTTTGTGCTTATTATTATTCGTCAATTTTTTTTAACGAGTCAGAGTCGGATATATAAAATTGTATTTTTATGAATAATGCATATTCAGATAATAGCTAATTGGTGATGTTTATCTATATCCTCTATAGATTCGTAACATATAATTATTTTAACATTTAAATTCGTTAATTATTTGAATTTACGATATATCTGAATATGTAACAAACAAACTAAATATTTACAGATATTCAAAACAGCAATCCAAATCATCATTCTAATAAAACTATTAAAAATAGCTTAAAATTGCGTTGAAGCTAGATTGATAGCGATCCAAATGAGCCTAAATGTGAGAAATGATAGAAGTGTTTAGAGGTCGGATCAAGTTACTCTCGGATTATGATTATATATATAGTATTAACATATTATGTGTTTGGGGGATAAATATAGGTCGATTGGGTTGAATTTTCAATTAATCGGATCCGACCTAATAAAAATACATAGTCTACTTGAAAAGTGAGACTTAACTCGTGTTTAGGATGATTTTATCCTATCCAAAATTTCATTCGTCTTTTGAGATAAAATTTACGCTCTAAAACCTCCTTGACATATATATATATATATATATATTCTTAATTTTGCTCGATAAAATAAATATTTAATAATAATAAATAATAATATAGTGAAGAGTATTATTGCAATTCTCCTTAAAATATTTTTTATTCTAAATCTGAACTTCACTTGACCAAAATGTATACTTTAAAAACCCAACTCGATCTAATCCAATTTTTTTAAAAAAAAACCCAATCCAATAAAATCAAGTTAGATCAAAACCTATTAAATTCAAGTGTCATACACATCCATGCATACTTATCTAAAGGCTTCACTCTAGTTTAAACATAGACATCAAATCTTATCTAAATCGGTTCGTAGTCACATATTTTTTTTTGTAAAACTTTTAATTAAGAATAATTTAACATACTTTCTAATATTTATATTATAATATTATATATTATTATACATTTAATTTTTATATTATAATATTACAAATTAATATTGAGGTCCAGAAAACAATATAATTTTATTATAAATGTAATTGTATGACAAATTAGGGAATACATACAAATTATTATTTTAATTTTTTTAAAAATTAGGGAATACATACAAATTAAATTTTTAACATGAATTTTTAATTCAATTATATTTTAAACTATTTTTTCTAATTTAAGAACTCTTTATTGAACTTTATTAACCAAACTATTTGCTAAAAAAAAAAAAATTTTGACTAGTTTGCCTTTTTTATTTCCTCATTTCCTTTATTTGCTTTACATGGACCCGATGAGTCAGCCCAGTCCAACTCAGTCCTTTACAATTTCTTGATGGAACGAGTTAACCTATGCCAAACTCATTGCAGATTTGCAGCTGCCTTTGCTTCATCCATTCATTTCAGCATTGACTCATAAACTGATCAATACAATGGGTTATTCCAAGGACCAGCTGCTTGCTCGTTTAAAGGTTTTCCTTTTTAATTAATATTTTTGGATAATTTTAGTTTTCATTTTCTCTATTTTGTTATATTACGCAACGGTTCTTTATTTACACTTCGATTTTGATTGGGTTTTCATTGTTTTTGCTTTATATTAGGTTTTTCTTTTCTCGGTTAGAATTGAGTAAGTAGAGGTTGGAATCCAAATTAGGTTATATATATATATATAGTATGCTAAACTATAAACTTTTATAGTTATTTGCACTATGAATGGATGAAAATATTGTAACCCTTCTAAGGGTTGGCTCAGCATATTTCAATTTGTGTATTGGACTGGTTGAATTTAATGAATTTATATGAATTATACAACCTATTAAAAAAATGAGATTGATAGCATCATAGTAATAACTTTGCTTTATTTATGGTAGCTATGTTTTTCTGCCATTTTATTTAGTGATTGAAACATGCATTGGGATCTTTCAGGAGCTTCAAATAGAATTTTCCCAGTACGAACATCCCGTTGTTTTGACAGTTGAAGCTCAGGTAAAAGAATATCACTGACTTGGCTTATTGATCCCTTTTGCATATTTTTTTTGGATAAGAATGATAGGCCTCATTAAAAAACCCCTTCATGATTAATGGAACTTGAGAACAGTTCCTTAATCAGCGGAAGGAGGAAAAGAGTGCCCTAGGATTTTATTGACAATAAAATAAGTACATAGGAATGCAACACCTAACTCCCTTAAGGAGATAGAAAACCAAAAAGAAACATCCCTTTTGCATATTCATGGATTATAGGACTGATATATTTCTTCTCAATCAGGCTAAATATGTTGGGAATACGGGAGGTTTTCTGAGCAAAAATTTGTTCTTGAAGGTATAATATGAAATTGGGTACTGTTAATTTTGCATCTGTGCTGAATGAATCTCGGAATTGTTTCTGATTTCCAGTGTGATTGCAAATGGTTATCCATGCAGGACAAGAAACATAGGTACTATGTTGTCTCTGCTCTTGTGGATACGAAAGTAGATCTGAAAGGTGCATGCTCTCTTCCCTGCTTTAGTTTTTATATTCTTTTCTTATAATACAAGGGAATGGTTTAAGAGTCTTGCATATTTATGTTGATATGGAAATCTGGAGCTAATTTCAGATGTTAATGAGAGTTTTATGTTGCCTTCAAAGCTGTGCAGTTTTATCTCAGAGGCTTGGTTTAGGGAAAGGTGGTCTAAGAATGGCTCCAGAGGAGGCATTGGGTGAGATACTTCAGGTGTGTATACATTGTAGTTTAAACTTGCTAGTAGCAAATTTTTTGAGATTGAATTACTAGTAAGTTTATGGATGTAGCATTGAAGTCTTTGCCAATCTTCTCCAATCATATGATCAGATTGCTTCTAATAGCCTATTTCATTCGTAAAAATGTAGTGTCATGGTTTAAAAGATGCCTTCATTGGGTAATCAGTGCCAAGAATATTCTTTAAGTCAATAAGAAAGACGAGGAATAAAAAGGGTTTTCACTAATGATCATCAAATATATGATAGCAAGATTGTAATGACCATTATATATATGATAACAAGTTTGTAATTCACCTTTTTATGTTGTTGCTTCTGTTTTCTTCTTTTAAGGTTCCACTTGGATGTGTTACTCCATTTGCAGTTGTAAATGAATCTGCAAGGTATGCATTTAAGTTTCATTCCCTTCAGGCATTAAAATATACTTTGTTTTTAGTGCTGAATGGTACATGGACTATTATTTTCCTGGAATCTGGTAATTTTATTGGTTGCACACAAGATGGAATGCCCTTGAAGCTTTAAGTTCTTGTGTTTGTCTTTGGCTGTAATTAGTACACGACGGTGTTCTATTTCTAGAATTCCTAATTATGCATTTATGTACATGTGATCTTGTGTTATTGGATTTCATCGGCAAAGAACCTTATTGTGTACTTTCATGAAAATTTTTATCTTATTTCTCATGTTCTTCTCAAGAACTGAGCCTCATTGATACTGCCTTTTCTTTCAAAATGTCCAGGTAGCTTCTGAATGAGTCAATTAGATTGGTTTTCTTTCCTTCAATCTTGATGTATTAACAGCTTTCAGTAAATCAGAGAAGTGTTGTTTCTAACTGCATGCATTAAAAGTGAAAAAAAATGATAATTATGTATGTGTATTGCATACATTTCTGCATTTGAAGATGTATCTAGTGCTGATGACCGTTTGGCTAAAATTCTAGTATGATTTCTTTTCATCTTACGTGCAAGTGCTATCCCACCTACCTTTCCTTTTACTTAACTCTCTGTTTCTCTGTATGTTCAATACATAATTTACTTATTTTGGGCCAGCTTTATTCAGAGTAAGTCTAGATTTAATTTTCAGTTTTGTCATTTTTTGAAGACACGTCTCGCTATTATTGGATCAAGGATTCAAATCTCAAGATTGTTGCATTTTCCACCCTCTCTCCAATGACATGTCAATCTGTAAGTCTTGAAAAAAATTAAACATGTTCTGGTCCTCCCCTTTTGAATTCACTCTTAATTCTTTATTTTGTTACCTACAATGTAATTAGTGGTTGTAGGAGATCATTTCAAGGGGAGATTGTTTTTTTGGAATGAACATATGCATTTTAGATTTTTTTTAAACATAATTGGCTTTATATATATATATATATATATATATATAGAGAGAGAGAGAGAGAGAGAGAGAGAACATAAGTGCGTATGATGTTCTCCATAATCTAGTTATGGAATGCAAACTTTAGAAAATGCATAAAATCTCTTTAAGCCAAACAGTCGATTTAGAACTTGCTGCTTCCTTTCCGGTCTCTTCTTGGCAATTATTGTTTGCAAGTGGGAATGCCATATGTTGTATGGTGTATGCAATTAGTCATTGAGGTCTAGAAAATCCTGTGATAGAAAAAGTCGATCAACTTCCTAGGATGCGGCTATATGCAACTGGAAATCAGTCTATAGCTGCTTTTGTTTCTTAATTCCTAATTAATCTATTCCCAGCTCTGAACTCCCAAGGTCTGGACAAGTTTCTTAAATCGATCGGGAGAAACCCTTCATACATTGATCTGGAGGTGATTTGATCCTTTCTCTGTTTCATTTCACCAGTAATATTTTTCATATTAGCTGATCTAATTATTGCTGGTAGGCTAACCCTCCTGTAGGGAAAGATCAACCACCCGATCTAGCTACTTTTGTTCCATCAGATTCCCCAGTTTTGTCGGATCTTCCAGAAAAAACACCTTCTTCACAGGATTCTACTGGAAAAAGTGTTGGTGCTGCTACTAACTCCGCAGCTGTTACAGGTAATCTATCTAAAAGAAATAGTCATTCGCAACATCATTACTTTTCTTGCACATGTTACAAATTCCTACATTTTGGCCCTATTCTAACCTTCTCGGAAAAGTAAAATACTGTTGCTTCATTTTATTTGACCGGTAACCATTGTTTCCAGAATTCAACATTCTTGAATCTTGTTTTGGGTTCTAGGGATTTGTACCTTATTTTGGGTTCTAAGGGTTAGTCCACCATTTGTTCTTGTAGACTAGCAGTTTGTGTAGGCAAATTAACATAAATCTTTTCTCTACTCTTGGTGTAGCAAAAGCTGTTAAGCCATCTGGTAATGCACAAATTGTTAAGGAGAAGCCAGTTGACAGTGTGCGGCCATCAATTCCTGCTGCAGATGCTGGGAAATTTGTGGAAGAGCTTCTGGATAGAGCATCCGCCTTACTGCTTTCAGAAGTAAGCTAAATCTTAATACTTTTGATCAATACAAACCTATGTTTATTTATTTTTTATTTTTTATTTTTGGCTTTTATAAATGAATACAGATTTCGGAGGATTCCATTAAGCAACATGGTGTACAGCTTGGTGAGGTAGCAAACAATATTAAAAAATGTATTGGAGAAGACCTAAAGAACCTTGCTGTAAGTATAATATGGCAAAAGTTAAAAACTGTTTTATTTAGCATGTATTTACAATCACCATTGACAAAATAAATGCCACCGCATTTGTTTCGTCCTTTTCTTCCCATTCATCCATTCATTCATTTCCGAATAAACGAAAAAGAAACATTTAGGGTGTTTGTATTTTTAATTCGACTCTAATCAAAATGATTACTTCCTCTTGCAGACCATATTCAAGAACACAGCATATACAGAAGGGTTCCATGCAGGTACCCGGTATCAGCCTAAGCGTCTTTGAACTGTTTTCAACTCTGTTGTACCATTTTGCTTACCGGAAACACATTCCAACAAAGAAACAAAAATCGAAGGGAGAAATCCAGTTTTCATGTTTTTCAAGACATTTGATAGTAACTATGTGAACCCTGTTTCTTAATCAGATCAAAATGTCAATTGAGTACAGTATTTGCAGGAGAACTAAGGAGCGTTCTTTTGTTAACCACACCATCTTTTTATTTTTCATTTTTTATTTTTTTGCAAATCGTTGGGTCTAAACAAGTATCAGAATTCATCTAGATTTCTTTCAACCCAAAGTTTTGAACTCGTCACTGGTTATGGATATGATGATGATGATAAAGCAGCTTGTTGTTTGACTAAAGTACAAAGATGGAAATATATTATGTCCTAAAGTTTGTCAAAAACATGTTTTCAAACTTATTGTGGGCATACATTTTCTGCTTTGGAACCAATGGCTAGGCCCCATGACATAAGGTTTTTTTGACCTAAATACCGTAGCTCCTACGGCCAATCCACAGCCCTTTAACTATTTTTTTATTTAGACAACCCTTTCGGCTCGTTTATTTATTAGTTGCTGAAGACAGAGATTTGAATTTGGAAAACACAGTTAGTGGTTAAGTTTACATGTTCAAAGTAATCATGATTCCAAGAAATCCGATTCATTTCCCTTTCTTACTATATTGTCTGAGTGTTAGTTGACCGCTGTTCACCCTCCCTCCTGCTAAAATCTATGCCTGGAATCCATTGTTTTATACAGCTTTGGGTTCATTAGTGACCATCATCAGAATCGATTTTTATGATTAATTACATATTTTTTTAGCTATTAAATAAAACTCTATGTACCTTTATTCATTATTTTCGACACAGTTATCCATATTAGAAATTTGCGGTTAATTCATTCGAATTCAAACAAAAATATTATCTTTTGATCTATAAAAAGAGGTCACGGGTCATCAATCAAAATTGAGAGTCGACGTTTTTTAAATTTAAATTCGAAGTTGGACTGGGTATGTTTTCCCGTTGATTCATTCAACCAAAATAAAATGATTTTCCCCCCTCGTGTTATTCAGGACCAATTGTGTTGGTAAAAGAAGTCAAACAAAGGAAAGTCGATTAGGTGATTAACCCATTTAAATTCCCAACCACATTGCCGAAACTAAAGGTGCTTGAAATGAAACGAACATCAGATCGAGGTTCCTTTCAACCACCAACTCCATCATCAATTTTCAAAACCTTGGTCTGAACATCACACTCCTAGGACGTAAGAGATTAGGTTATGGTTTTGATGAAGACGTCATTTTCGTTTTATCCCAGTTTTCCTCATAGTCCGATTACGACTTTTGCCAACTTTGCATGGCATTAAAAACACTCGAAGGCCAAGTCAAGCGCCGACTAGGTTCAACAAAACTTCAATTTTTCTTTCTGGGGAAAATCGAATTTTCTTTTCCTGGAAAATAAAACCTACTCACCGCTACTGTCTCGTTTTTTTTTCACGGGAATAGAAAAAGAATTCACATTGGATTCATGGGTGCTTTTGGATTCTCTTCTCTGTTGCCTACCTTACCTAATTCAGGGTCTGGCTTTATCAAATTCCAAATCGAAAAAAATAACTTCCTCGATATTAATTTTAAAAAGTTATGCAGAACTTTGTTTTTAATACAAGGGAAGAAGATGGCCCCTGCATAACAGCACGGCTTAGAGCAAAGATCATTAAATGCGGATCAGCTCCAATGAAACCCCTAATAATTTATTTATTTTTATTTAATTATTAAACATATGAATGAACCTCACCTCACGCAATGGTCAGAAGATGTAGGCATCCAAATCAAAGCCAAGAATTATTTGTAAAATGGAATTTTATTATGACAAAATGTTGGGACATGCTAAATGACATTATTTGCATAAACAAAGAATAATCTTCAATGTAATGATGTAATCCAAGTTACCTTTCTCTCTCTTATTCTATTCTTGACCCCCATGATATAAATCTCCATGTGGTTGTTAACCTTGAATAATCCGTTATTTCAGGAGAGAAAAAACATATTGATTTTTTATGGAAAATAAAATAAATAAATAATGCATATATACTTTTAAACAAATAATCAGTAAAACTAACATTGATAATCTTGTAAGATTGTTTATATTAAAGCAGTTTTATGAAGGGCATGGCACTATATTAGAGTGGCGGTGAAGGTAATCTTCAGTCAAAAACAAATCAGAGACCATCTGATTCTGATCTAAAACCCTAGAAATTATTACCTTTTGGGGTTTCTTTTTTAGAAATGCATGTGGAGCAGTTGAAAGTTCAAAGGTAGAGGCGGGGGAAAGGGTTGAATCATTTATAGGAAATAACTAAAGATCGAAAAAGAATCTGCAAGTTGATTTGAATATTCAAACCAAACAAACAAACAAAGCATATTATATATTAAAAAAATAAAATGTTGGAGCTGATATTATGAAATCAATATGCAAATAAAAAAAAGACACAGAGCATGGGTCCAGAATGCACAGATATTAATTAAGACAAGAACTGAAGAACCCCACCACAGCAGTACAAGGTTCATGTGGTGGGTTGAGAACAGTGAATAGAATAATGTGTATCCCAACATTATCCAACTTGGGAGGGAGATGCCACATGCCTTCTTTATCATTACCTCTTTTTATCAAACTACTCCATTTTAAAGTTTTCCCCTTGCTTATGCTTATATTATTTGCATTGCTAATAACAACTTTGACAAAAAATTAAATTGAATTTCGAGTTCAGATGTAATCCAATTAATTCATATTATCACTTAAGCGATTCACACTCTACCATCCCGTGATGACACCCGGATCGGCCAATCTTTCCTTGCCATCTTCTTAGACATTAAACGATATGGGCAAAGTATGTCATGTTCTTTTTACAAAATGCCAACATTATCTGAACAAAGAATGGTATAAGATCCCCTTGTCGGGGTATCCGGAATGAAAAGGAATCGGCTACCGGGAAAACTTTCCCGGTCATCGGATTTTCTGGCAACGTAGCCATCATCGGGTTGATGATTATGTTAAAAACTTGGGAATAAAGACATTGAAATTGTTCATGGCTTGATGTTACGGATCATAACAATTATAGGAGAGACGGGCTGGGATTAGACCATGGCTCATAATTGCATGGGGGAAACCGGAATAATGAAGACAGTTTAAATTCAGCAACACCAAAACCAAAAGGAAAATATAACATTTGAAAACTGATCTTCCATTGATATACACGAGTTATGTACATTGTTACATTTGTGATCAATGAAACTTCAAGCATAATCTCTCAACCTCTGACGAGCTTTTGCTCATCAGGGTGTGACCTCCTCACCTCGTCAAGTACATAAAATTAGTTAACATGAAAAAGAAAATTTACATCTTCCAAGCAAACCTAACCTCTAAGTCTTAGACAACTGTATCACAAAAATTCTCATCCATCCGCTTCTGAACAGCTCGGACTGCAGCTACCCTAGCAGCAGTTGCCGCCCTATTTGCAGCCAGAACCGCCTTGTTCACTTGTTCATCCACCCTGCGAAGCTTAATAGCGTTTCCCGCTGTTTTCCTGGCAGCCTGCAGGGATCCAGAAAATACAGTAAGGTTAAAGTTGACCAACAAATTAGCTTATCATGGTCAATTCAATAATAAGGTAAATACCTGAACTGCTCGAAGGATTGAATCGGTAAGTGGAGGCAGAGTGGTTCTCAGGGTGCCGGAATCCCATTCACCACACTTCATATCACCACTTCGGAAAGTATACATACCATACCCTTGCTTTCGACCTTCATGCCACGATCCCTCGTAACAGTGACCGTTAGCAAAGTGGTAAACACCAAATCCATGAATATTGTCTCCAAAATATTCTCCACAATATTTATCTCCATTCCTGCAACACCAGCATCACATTATGAAGATCATGGTTTCCTTAATAGAATAGATATGATTTACCTTAGACCAGAAAAACAAACTAAAACTCGCTTAATAAAGAAACAAAATCATTATGAATATAGAGGAAATGATCTGTAAAAACAAGAATTATAAGAGAAAAACTTTAAGCAATCATTAAAGGAATTAATTCACTCTCGCCTTTCATTCATTGAAATCCAAAAGACAGATAAGATCCACAACTGATCATTAGGTCAGCATCAACCAAGTTTCTGGGTATAGACTTAAGTGAAAACCATTTCCTCTTCGTTGATTATTAAAAATACAACTGAATTTTGGACAGTTGTAACAAAGAAAGTAAAATGAATATACCCAATTCATCATAATTCTGAAACTATAAATTAGAAAAGATAAAACTTTATTAAATGAAAAAAAAACAGCTGCAAAATATTAAACATAAAGGTATTGGAGTTAATGCAGAGTTTAACTTTTTTATGATCAGGGGTCATAGTGACTGACATCAATAATTCCAAGCAACAGAGAAATAGCACAAGAACTCCATCGTAATATCAGCAGTCAGCACACATTCAAAACATCCACAATTAAAATGAATCAGGAATATTTACATGGTAAAATGAAAACCTGAAATGGTAGTAACCAATTCCATGTTTAACACCGGATTTGAATTCCCCAACATAGCAACTCCCATCAGCACAAGTTTGAACACCAACACCATGACTCTGCCCATTACACCATTCACCAGCATAAGAATCCCCTGTATAAAACCTATAAATCCCAAATCCATGCCTCAATCCTTGTCTATATTGCCCTCTGTATCTACTCCCTCTGCTCCAGCTCTCCACTCCATACCCATCGTATCTTCCGTCCACCCAATCCCCTTCATACCTCCCATTCACGAAGTAATTGTAAACCCCACTCCCGTTACATTTTCCCTTATGAAATTCACCTTCGTAAAAGTCCCCATTCCTGTAAAACTCCACCCCTTCTCTTTCAACCACCTCAAGTCTTTCTTTTTCTGTGTTGCTGTTGTAATGGGTTTCTCCAATGAACCACTGGACAGGCTTCGAATTGGGTTTCGAAAATTGAAGCCTTTCTTTGAAACAAACAATGCCTTGGTTGATTAAACCTCTGTTCTTTGAAGCGAAGAAGAGGGTAATGGCCACGAAGATCAGTGCTAACAAGAGGCGTTCCGATGTGGGAATCTCCTCTCTTTTGAGATAAAAGCAAAAGAAATAGATGAAAGAGAAAAAAGACATGGAGGCTAAGGAGAAAACCGGGCTGAATCGAACCGGCATGATCCTAGGTTTCATCGAACTTGACTTCTTTGGTGGCGGTTTCTTTCTTTTCTCGTCGTTCAGTAACGACTCTCGTTGTTGGTGGTCGTCTTTGTCCTCTTGGTCCTTGATAAAGTCACCCTCGCTGATGGATGACATACTGTGGATGGACGACCGGACGGTATGCGATGAACGGAGCAACGAAGACGGCGTTCGCGTTAACTTCGCCTGGCTCTTTTGGCTCTCCATTGCTTCCCCTTCCCCTTCGTTTTCTTTTCTTGTTCCTTTTCCTTGAAAAATAAATAATCGGAACCGTCTGATTAAACTAACTTTCACTATCACCGATCTTTCCTATACCGTGAGATTCTTATCACAACAGTTGTCCCGGGAGCGGCCGGCGACATCTCAGGCGGCGCACGTTAAACCAGCACCTTTTTTTGTTTAACCGCGCACTATAGCACTATCAAAAGAAAAGGCTTTAATTTCCTATCTTTTTTTTTCGTTTGGAAGAAATGAAAAAGAGTCAATCCGGAGAATTGGACCGGCAATTTCGATAAATATTTATGGTTGTAATAGAGGAAAGGTTGATTTCAATTTCGACCATTGGATGAAAGATCTGTTTGGCTGATATGATTAGTTAGTTAATAACCGTTGGATTGAACTTGAGAAGGCCCGGTCTCGACGGGGAGATATGGTCCTGGGATCTAGATTCGGTCTTCTTTACGCTTTTACTGCGGCAGGCAGCGCGGCACGTGCTATCCCTCGTTTTATTTTACAATTTTTTGGGGTAACGCTTTCCTGTATCACGTCCTACTAAATTAAATGACTCGCTACTCCCATCACCGTTGATCGTTTTGGCTTTAGTCGTCAGTTAAGTTTGCATTAGAACTCGAAACCTCGATAGAAATATTAAAATATTAGGTATGAAATATAAAAATTATCACATAAGGTGACGAATTCTCTCTATACTATAAAAATATCGTATATTTCAAATTAATTTTTGAGGTACATATTAGGCGTATCCTATTGGACAAAAAAACTACTTCTTTATTCATTTGTGTCGTCATCAAACCCAGATTTTTTTTTTCATTAGGGCAGTCCAAAAAAAATTGCAAAGTAGGGCATAGACACTTTTATTTTAAGATATACGACATTTTCTATAATGCATGAAACTCATCACATTGAAATAACGAATTTTAATAAAAAATTATTCAAAATTTTTACTTTGATGTAATAAATTTTAATAAAAAAATATATTTTATTAAAATTCATCATCTTGTCGTGACGTGTTTCATAAATACTATAAAAAAATATTATAGATCTCAAAATAAAAATTCAAATGTCTTAATGGGCTAAATAAAGAGCTCAGATACCCTAGTGTTTTAAATAAGAATTTAGCCCAATCCAAAAAGCAGGACACACGGCTTAACCTCAAACCCTTTGGACTAGTTTTAATAGCAGGAATATCGAAATCTTATGAAATTCAATAGAAGTGTTATAAACTTTAATAAATACGAATGTCATTTTCAGATTTCATTTTCGTATTTATCTTTCACCTCTTTATAATATTTTTATTACATCAATAATTCCAGTCCTATAAATAATGATTTTGTAAAGCTGATGATGTAGTTGAAAATCAATATACACTCTTATATTATTATTTATCTATCTTTTATTTTTTTTTTCTTATTCTTATTATAAATTTTTTAATAATTAAAAATTTCATGGTTTTTTGGCCTATGCGTGAGATTTTTCTCGAACAAATATATTATTTATTAGTTAATTTTTTAATATATATATATAAGGGTAGACAATCATGGGAATAGCTGTTGCCTTCAATTACATCAGTTTGCGCCGAAGGTCTTGACCATTTCATTTTAAAAAGCTTCAACCTGTTCTTATTGCTTTATCATATAAAATTACACATATACTCGTATAAGTTCCATTCATTACAAGTTCACGTCATTGTAAAGCTTCAATTTGTTAATAAAAGATCAAAACCCTGCTTAATAATTATAAATTCTTAAAACGTAAATAAAATAATCTAAATAACCCCACTCTAACTTGCTAATATATTAATTCTAGAAAGATGCTAATGATGGTGGGCTGAGAGTGCATAGAACAAAGATTAAATTTTATGTTATTCATATTAATAAGTTGGGTGCGCTAATAATGCCCATTATAATTTCGAATATTAATAATAGTAAGAAGAATATAAATATATATAGAGAGAGTGTGTGTGTGCACTTCTCCTGATTTTCATCTTATATACGAACTTGTCCATCGTTTGATCCAAATTCATTGGATATTTTTAAAATCAGAGCAGATTTAAATGAATTTTTTTGGGGGGGGGGTTGGAGCAAAATGGAAGTGAGAGTTGCACAGGCAGATAAAAATGAATGAAAATACACAGAAAGTGAAATTGGAAAACCTCATACGAAACAAGCTCATGTTCCTCTTACAGACAACAGCTTTGTGATTTACTGATTTGTCTGAATTTTTAGGACTATTACATCTTAATTCGAACAGTTTGGTCTAAGTTTTTGTTAAAATGTTCAAATATTAACATGTGTGGAGGATGCTATGGGATATGAAAAATAATGTGCAGTTGAAAGACAATGGAAGCGACATCATATGCATATGATTTGTTTTAACTTTTATTACAAAGCAGTCTGGAGGAGAAGTCCATATCGAAGCTGAGAGCAAACGCCTAGATTTCCAGGCTAATACGAGCCTGTTATCGGCCAACTCCTCCACTCTATATGCATCATTGAATAATCCCAGCAGGAGCTTTGCTTGACAATGATTGCCAAAGCTGATGTTAACTGCCTTGTATCCTTCTGAATTTAGCCATTCCCACCAGGGACCACTCTCGTATTCTTTTCGGGTCCGATAAATCTGGGTCAAAGATCCGGCTATTCGAGGCCCCAGAATTACTCTTTCCACCAAGTCCCGTGCCCTGCCCTGCATAGGGAACCCCGCTTCTAACGAGTCAAACATGGCTGAATATTGGTGCAATGTGTCCATGAACTCCCCATCTCCAATGGGTCCAACTTCTTCCACCAGGGTCATCAATCTTGGGTTCAGTGTCTTGGCGCCCGATAAAAATGAAGCGATCGAACCTGGTGCTCGACGGCTAAAGTGAGGCGAGTGCAGCATACAAATGATCACCAAGGCCTCACCTCGAACTAACTTCACAGCCGATGGTCTAAAAGTTTCATAGGAGTCAAGTTTACACTGATGGAAAGAAAAGGGCTGCCCAATAGAGGCTGCAAAAGCATCTAACCGTCGACCGGTCTAGTGAATGCTCCCGATTGATCGCCAGCTGTTGTTGCCTCTAGATAAAGCCGTGATCCTAAGATGCGGGGTCGGTGGTCCTTCTTTCCTAGACACCAAAGCTTGCATCAAAGACGCCCATTGGATCCCTTCCATGATGTCGTAGTCCACTATGTGGATCCTCCTGTCACGAGTCACTGCTTCCAGGATTGCTTGATTGGCAGTAAAGTGACCGAATTTAACATAAGGTGATGTTGAAGAACAGAATACAAAGATCAGTATATTTCTTATCTGTTTACAGTTCACAAGTATGCCAGCTTTATAGCTGGTGTTGAGCTAATAACTGCTCTAACAATCTAACAAACTCTGGCGCCAAATATAACCGAAACTATCCACATGCTATAGCCATGCTATTGTACGTGCACGTCTACAGCTTACATTCCCTCTACTCTTTTTTTCTTTCTTTTTTACTAAGACAATGTTACAACCCTGGTACAACACACACATTGCGGCGAAATTCTTCAAATGCAGACTTGGAGAGTGGTTTGGTGAAACCATCAGCTATTTGATGCCCGGCTGGTATGTAGTTAACCCTCAACTGACCAGCTGCAACCTTCTCCCGAACGAAGTGTATATCGAGGTCTATATGCTTCGATTGAGCATGATACACAGGATTAGCACTCATGGCTACTGCTCCTGTGTTGTCACACCAAAGCACTGGCTCTCTCAACTGCTGAAACCCCAAATCTGCAAGAAAAGAGCTCGTCCAAGCGACTTCAGCTGTTGCGTCAGCCAAACTCTTATATTCAGCCTCCATTGTGGATCGAGATACGGTTTTTTGTTTCTTTGAACTCCATGCAACTAAACATTTGCCAATGAACACACCATAGCCAGAGATTGACCTTCGATCGTCTACATTTGCTCCCCAATCAGCATCTGCAAATGCTGATACAGTCAGTTCTGCCTTGCTTGCTTGAAACATTAACCCGTAATCTATCGTACCAACCAGATATCGAAGGATTCGCTTGACTGCAAGCCAATGCATTTCTCGTGGTGCATGCATAAATTGCGCCACCTTTCCCACACTATAAGACAAATCAGGTCGGGTGTGACATAAGTATAGCAATGACCCTACTACGCTGCGGTATTCACTTGGATTCGGCAGTAACTCTCCAGCATCCTTTGACAGCTTTGGTGCCAGAACCATTGGTGTATGGCAAGCAGCTGCCCTTGTCATGTTCGTTTTTTCTAGCAACTCTAGCACAAACTTCTTCTGATTCAAGAAGAGACATTCACGGGAGCGATGAACTTCAATTCCCAAGAAGAAATGAAGTGCACCAAGATCCTTAAGCGAAAAAGCAGAACTGAGTAACTGAACTACTGCTTGAATTTCACACGACGAGGGCCCCGTAATGACGATATCATCAACGTATACTAATGCATACACATTGCCAGTATCTCGTTTGCAAACAAAAAAGGATGCATCTGCTCGTGAAGCTGTAAAACCCATCTGTACAAGACTGTTGCGGAGCTTAGCGTGCCAATTCCTGGGCGCCTGGCGCAGTCCATACAAGGCCTTTTGAAGCTTGCAGACCAGTGTAGATCCATCTTCAGCAAATTGTTCAAATCCTGGTGGTTGCTTCATGAATACATCCTCAGTAAGATCACCATTGAGGAAGGCATTGTTCACATCAATGTGTCTCAACTCCCAGTTATTAGACACTGCTAGTGCCAAGATTGCATTAAGGGAGGCGAACTTAACAACCGGGCTATATGTATCGAGGAAATCATGTCCTGGTATTTGCGAGTAGCCTTTCGCAACTAGTCGTGCCTTATAGCGGTGTATAGAACCATCGGGGTTACGCTTTAGCTTAAACAACCATTTGCACCCAATAGGAGTGCGACCTTCTGGCAATTTGACCAGTTCCCACGTATTGTTCCTTTGAAGTGCTTCGAACTCGGCTTGCGTTGCCTCCTTCCACTCGGTCGTCTGTAGCGCCTCTTGTACCGAGGAGGGAATCTCATTATCAAAATGAATAGAATACAACTTGGGTTTGTAAATACCACGTTTACTGCGTGTTATCATCGGATGATGATTTTCCATCACTGGTAAAGTAGGTGCAACAGTAGGTGACACCAATTCTTCATGCTCTCGATTTGAGCTAGTTACTGCATCAGTATCATTTACAACAGGCACATTGAATTCTGCCCCCGAGCCAGCTATAGGAATTA